CTTTCTACAGGAGGAATGGGGAGTAAGAAAAAAAAAAAAATTTATATATATTTCTGAAGGTCACAGAAGACATTTCTACCTATTACTTACCAAGCAGACAAGACTGAACTTTGCCCATGCTCTGAGATGACTGCAAGCCTTCTGAACAAAGCAAGCAGGGTACAAAGTCTAAACTGGCAGCATGAAGCTCTAACCACTTCTTAGCAGAACTAGCTAACTTGGCACCACGTTAACCACTTTCATATGGTTTCCAGCAGACTTTGAACACTCTCAAGACTCTGGAGCAAATTCTGTTTTCAGAATACCATGAAGGCACATCCCTAGGAAGCCCATCAGCTGAGCCGAGACATGAATTCCAGTCTCCCAAGCCCCATGCTAACAGTCTGTTTAAGCCACACGTACTACATACAAAGAGCACTGCTCAAACTGAATTAAAAAACAAACCAAAACAAAAGACAGTACCCATTAATTAGTACTCTGGACTACTAAACCCATTTGTTTTTCCTAAAGCCTTTACCCAACAACTACAAAATGCTTTAGTTAGAATTATTCTGAAGTTTCTGTGCTTGTTTAATGCTTAATTAGCAGTACCTTGATAAAGGTAAAACTCCCAAGATTTCCTGAATCACAGTCATTTTGCTCTTACAGAATCTTATACATTATCACATAAGAAAAACTGATGGAAAACAGAGAAGAACTGCAGGGGTCAGATGAACACTCTTGCTTACTGGATATTTGTAGTCATCTCCTTTCTCCTCACTGCCTCAAAAGCAGAACCTTAAAAACAACTAAAGAATAAATAAAAGGCACTTTCTAGGTAAGCACATAAAGGAAGAGTATGAATCCATATAAAAATATTTTACTCAGCTTTCCATGAACACTCATACTTTTTCGGTAAAGAACAGGACCATAAGAAATGGGCCACAGAAATGATCAGAGGGATGAACACCTCTCCTGTAAGGAAAGGCTGGGCGAGTTGGGGTTGTTCAGCCTGGAGAAGAGAAGGCTCTGGGGACACCTTATAGCAGCCTTTCAGTATTTAAAGGGAGTTTATAAGAAAGATGGGGACAGACTTCTTAGTGGGGCCTGCTGTGATAGGACAAGGGGTAATGGTTTTAAACTGAAAGAGGGTAGATTCAGACTAGATAGAAGGAAGAAATTTTTTGCTATGAGAGTGGTGAAACACTGGAACAGGTTGCCAGAGAGATGGTAGATGCCCCATCCCTAGAAACGTTTAAGCTCAGGCTGGACAGGGCTCTGAGCAACCTGATCTGGTTGAAGGTACCCCTCACTCATTGCAGGGAGGTTGGACTAAGTGACCTTTAAAGGTCCCTTCCAACGCAAACCATTCTATGATTCTATTACATATTCTTCAAAACACATAAATGGTATCTCAAATAGGAAAACAGAAGAACACCGAAATCCCAGCAAAGCACAGGTCATACCATAATGCAGGCCAACAAGGACTGCAAAAAAAAATTTCTCTAAAGACATAAAAATTATATAAGCTTTTAAAAGCATCAGGACAAGGAAGCCTGCCAGCAAGTCAGTGGGACCAAAGGAAGAAGATACTAAAGAAGTAGTTAAAGAAGGTAAGGGCATACTGTACAAGCTAAATGAATTCTGCACACTCATATTCACTACAGAGGAACTTAGGGACCATCCTGTAACAGAGCTGCTCTCTACAGGGAACTCTCTCATCCTTAATTGTCAGGACAGACATATAGAACAAACCACCAGGACCAGATGACAGTCCCCAAAATTTTAAAGGAACTTAAATATTAATTTTTTTTACAGCAGATTGCTCTTTAGATCTTTAAATTTGACCTTAATTAAAGGTTAAATCCACCTCACATTCCCACACTGCTGGTACTAGCTTTTTGGTTAATTTTATTGGGGTGCAAACCAGGTGTTAAGATTTCTACAGTTCAGACAAATTTGACATTTGTAACATAAGAAATAGCAGAAATTCCAATAAAGTATATGCAATAGAATTAGTATATACATGAATATATATGATGCACTGAGGAAAAGTGAACACACCTTCTACAGAGCAAAGTCATAGATCACAAAACTACTCAAGACATCTCTGAAGAACACAAGACTAACTCAAGCTGACACAGTTTATTTCCAAAGTCTTATAAAAACCCTATCATCAAGCTCTTAAAGTGCTGACTTCCAGAAACTAGGATGAAGCAAATCCATTCAAATCATGTTTCTTTCGGCTCTTTCCTAAGGACCGGCCACTGCTGCAGATGAGACATTAGGCCAGCTGGGTCTTCGATCTGAGCTGATATGGCACCTTTGATATTTGCTCAGACAAACAACCTGACCTTTAAAAAAAAAAAAAAATAATAGAGGTGACTCAGTTTCAGAATTCTTGTCTTTACAAATTGTTTCCTGCAATAGGTAAAGTATGAAACCTATATAAAATAACTAAAGGGCTAACGTACTCTGTTCTAGTTTCAAAACATCTCTTAAGAACTTCAGCTTTAATGAACTACCTTTTGAAAGCATAACTACTGCTGCAGAACAAAGCCCTGCTTAACCAGTTAGACACAGAGGACCAGTAGATGACTGCTTTGATAGACCAAACAGCATGTAATGCATACGTTAGGGCTTTGGCTTCCTCTTTGAGCAGTTTGTTTTTACAATTGCACATTATCTAGTCAACTCTAAAAAATGGGCTTAATTAGTAGGTATCAATCCAGCCAGTAAGCATGTCATTTCCTTTCATCCAAATGATGAGGGACGAGTAGAATGTTAGGTACTTCCCTAGGCTTTTTATTCTAGTTCTTACAGTAGTTAAAAGAAAGGACTCATCTAATGGCTGCCCCACAAATGCACAAACTTATCCACTGACTAAAAAAAATACTAAATCCTACCAAAGATATGCCACATAATTCCTTTAATAAGCTATTAATCCATAAACGCATAAAAATTAGGCTTGCAACAGTAACTGAACAATAAGAACTGCCCAGATAGAGGGGGAAATTCTACCCTTTCAGACTTCCCAGCACCAATGCAATATTCTTAAGACGGGAGATTCTCAGGACCCCATAAGACATGTAGCAACTCCCTCAAGTCCTCATCCTCCCCTTTCCCACACCTCCCTCGACACACAAATATGAACTCAGTAAGCGTGTTTACTCTAAATGATCCTTGCTCACCAAGAAATATTAGCCACATTTTATTTTCAATGAGCCAAATAACTTTCACATTACCTTTCAATGAAAGCGCATTCCTAGCCTCTGGGAGTACATATAATTAATAATTTCAATATTATAATTAGTATTAGTTGTCATGGCATTTGAAAAAGGATCCTACAGCTACCACCTCTCAATCTGTTTCAGTGACCTACTAACCCAAATACCTATATGAATGGGCTGATGGAAATGGTGACATGATTACTATGATGTGAAGAGTCTTTTCAAGGTAATTGAATGAAAAGAACAGCATAAACCTCTTTCTAAAGATGAATCGGTGCTCCAGTGGTAAATTATTTAGGTTCTTACAGCAGGGCTGTAATGCACACAAACCATAGTATCCTGTTTCTTCTCTATAAATGTCAGATAGTATTTCTAATTAACTATCTGTCCTCATATAAGAGAAACTAGCTGGCTTTTCCTTGAACATCTACCAGTGAAAATATCCAAGTTACCATGTTTCTAAATGGACATCACTCTTACTCCAATTTCTTATTTGTGACTCTGAAATCTACTTCACCTTCGGTTTAAAGACCAGAAAGGTGACTAGTAAATCAAATTAGCTTTGTTCTGATGAACGTGAGCTTTAGGATTACTGCTAACTCTAAAATTATCTAAAGAAATTAAACTTGATTCTTCAGAAACACACAAAGAACAAAGAACCTCTAGGGGTCCCTTTCAACCCAAAACATTCTATGATTCTAATGTAAGCAATGGTCTCGGTAGCAGAAAACAACAATCAAAATAACCAAACTAAAGCACACTAAGCATGCAGTATGCTCTTATCGTGTTTATTGACCCTAAGGCCATTTACAGCAAAGAAAACCAATTGTGTTGCAAACCAAGAGGTCCAACAACCAGTTCCAATGCACAAATGTAAAATGTGTAATTGTGTAACACACAAAATTGTAAGATGTGATAAAAAGTAACAAGGATTAAAAGGAATTCTAATAAAAATGTAAACTAAGAGACCTCACAGGTATGAGCTTCAACATCCTATGGTGTCCTAAGGTCCTCTATTTTCACACTGAAAAACAGCCCTGTTAACCATTTCAAAATTTAGCTAAGGATACAGTAACCTACATCCACAAAAAGGTCAGGTGAAGCAGCGCTGAGCATCTTGGCACTCAGCAGAATCCGCTTTTACCTGAAGATACGCAGTACGAGGGGATGAAAAAACAAACCTGTGTCTCCCAAACCCTCATTTCTAACCTATAGAGTACTGGAATTCCTTCCAGCTACTATGGAGAGAGCTGCAGAGCCCAGTTCAGCTGGTGTGCTCTGGGAGTACTCACTGCATTATATTCTACAGAGGCCACATAAAAGAATGGTTTGGTATGAGCAAGACTGAGGTTTTCAGCTCAGACAGATCTGAATTTTATATAATCAGATATTTAGGTGCCTAGGGAGACTTTCTGATGAAAGTGTAGGCCTCCAAGAACTTTAAACATAAGTTGGAGGACACTTTCCAAAGATTAAACTTTGACTGGAAGTTTCTTCAGCACCTATCTTTTGCTGAGGACCTTGTTCCAAGTGAATTGCCAAACACTTCACAGAAAGTTTGCAAAGAAATCAAGAACAGACCTTTCTGCTCCAATGCCTTAATGGCAAAACAACATCATTTCTTTCAGAAATATATGTTAAGGATCTCACCTTTGCTATTTGTTCAAAACCCCTTTGTGGATGGTTTATCCTTACCGCAAATAGTTGAAACACTCTTTACAATAAGGTATTGTATCAATGCCGTGGTCAATTTTATAACTTAAAACACAATTATCTAGCATGCTTTCTCACCTTTCTGTAACTGATGGCAATGAGGTTCTTCCTTCCCAATTCCCCCTTGCTCCTCCCACAAACCTCTGTTTTTATGAAAAAGATTGACACAAAGGTGAAGTTTGAAAAAAATATATTTTTATATACATGTGTGTGAATCATACCAAAGCAGTCTATTACTCAGTTAAAAAAAAAATTTAAAAAGAAAATACCTCATATAACTTTGTTTCACAATGAACACAGATGGAAGACAGAAGAAAGAAGAAAACTATTAGATATCTATTGTTTCGATGAAAGCAAGGATTTTTGAGTTTGTCATTCCACTCCAAAGTCTTCCCACACAGACCAAATCTTCAGCTACATATTTATTTGGTCAATGAAACCTGTGAATTCCATGAAGAATTTCCTTCTGAAGCTCTATGTGCCAGATATTCTTGTAATGTACAGCCGCCCAGAAGCTGGCAACTCCCACAATACTCCAACCCTTAGGCCCACTCCACATTTAGGAATTCTGAGTACAACGACATAGCATGCATAAAGTGGTCCTATAGGTGGACATAACCTATCATGACAAAAAGATATTCTTGCTAATTTTAGTCCCCATCTAAAGTGAAGCTGTAAAAGCAAAAGTAAAGGTGCTACCATACAAAAATGCCAACGTCTGACACTTCTGCCCATACTCAAAGATTGTTTTTCATTCCTGAACAGTTTAACTATGCCAATTTAACTAAGTTCAGTGCAACTAAAGTTTGTAATTTAAAAAGAGAAAAAAAAAAAAAAAGAACTATCTATTTTCTTTACAATGAAAAGTGAACCGATACACTGCAAGAGCAATTCTCTTCAAACCCCAAACTGCATAGACCATGTATCATGCGAGTACCTGGGTATCCCACTGGAGATGGAAGAATATTTTGCAGTTAAACACAACAAACAAAAGAAAAAGAAAGAGGTTAACAAAAATTGGTAGAAATTATATGCCCTCACTACAAGAAAGATGTTGCATTGCTGGAACACGTCCAGAGGAGAGCCACAAAACTGGTGAGGGGTCTAGAGCACAAGTCTTACAAGGAGCGGCTGAGGGAACTGGGGTTATTTAGTCTGGAGAAGAGGAGGCTGAGGGGAGACCTTATCACCCTCTACAACTGCCAGAAAGGAGGCTGTAGGGAGGTGGGGGTAGGCCTCTTCTCCCTGGTAGCGGATGATAGGACGAGGGGGAATGGTTTGAAGTTGCATGAGGGCAGGTTTAGGCTAGACATTAGGAAAAACTTCTTCACCGGAAGGGTTGTCAGACTCTGGAATGGGCTGCCCAGGGAGGTGGTCGAGTCCTCATCCCTGGAGGTATTTAAAAGAAGGATAGATGAGGTGCTTAGGGACATGGTTTAGTGGTGGGATGGCAGGGTTAGGTTAAAGGTTGGACTCAATGATCTCAAAGGTCTTTTCCAACCAAAATGATTCTACGATTTCCCCCAGTATGTGAGGTATGTTGCAACATCACTCTTCTACCAATTCAAATGCAGTTACCTTTTTAAAGAATTTATGCTACAAACACAAGTTGTTGTTTTTCCTATGAAGTTTTTTCCTATATGCCAATGACACTTTGTGGAGAAGTTCTGAATTGCATTTAGTAAAAGAGCTAAAACTTGTTTGTGTGCTTAACTCCACTACTTTAGCTACTTCCACTGAAAACAATCAGACTACTCATGTATAAAGCTAAGCTTCTGCATAATCTTTCCTAAGTGAGGACCTAAGAAGGAAAAGTTAGACAGGTTGCTTATACAGCCCACATGCATGAATACATACTTTGTACTCCCTGGGTAGCATACAGTAACCTCATTAAAAAAGGAGAGGGAAAGAAAATAATTATAAACCACACAGAACAGGCTTAAATTGTTTTGAGACATTAAGAAAAAATATTTTGGTAGATCACTTACTGTGTTTTTACTTTATAGTTAAAATATTTTATAAATTTATTCAATGTTTGTATGCATATGTATGTATGTATACAAAATACTTTTAAAAAGTATTTCTCTTTAGTACCTCAGAATGCAGAAGTAACCTGTTACAACAATTGGAGCTAAAAGGAAAAACCAAATGCAATACAAGATCCTGCTCTAGTTTAATCAATGGCAGAATCCCTAATGGCTTTTAAAGATACCAAATAAGCCCATGAAAGCTTCACAAAAGCATGAAACATCAATATAATTGTAACTTCACTGAAAAAAGTTTTATGGAGAAGGAAAACCCTTTCAAGTTTCAAAAGTTCAAAGACCACTGATCTGCCCCTTAAAACTTGGGAAAGGCGAGCATGAAACGGCAATAGAAGTTTCCCCTCCCAAAGTAATTCAGCAAAGATTAGCTGAACAAAACTACAAAGAACTGCTTTTAAAATTTCCAGTGCGCACAACATTCTTCAACAAGATACCTCACACAAATATAGAAAATGGCAGCAAAACTCTGAGAAACACCTTTATTAATTAAAAGGTACAGAAAATACAGAAGGGAAAAATCATGCAGAATTACTTTGCACATAACGTTTTATTTTCCATTTTAAATTCCTAGTGAGTTGCAAATTCCATCAAGTATTTAAAATACCAAAAATCCTTTACCATTTTGTAACAGCCTAAAGATACGAGGCCTAATAATGACTGACATTGTCTTTTACTAATCTGAAGCTTTAACAGCATGACAATTGGCAGTTCAGCATTTCAGGAGGAGGTAGGTGCTTGAGATTATTTAAAAAAAAAAAAAAACAAAAAAACCAAGGATTAAACAGAAAACCAAAGTTGTCTGCTGAAATACAACAGAAAAAAAGAAAAGTTAGGTTTTTTTAAGCAAGTGTACGATAAAATACCTCCTGGGTCCTAGGTTCAGACACATTATGTCATCCTTGATCTAAAACTGGTTTCTGTCACTCCACCACCCATCTGCAAGTTTGCAATAATACTAAATGTCTTCATGGTACCAAACGCTGCAGTTACTCTTATACCTTTATTAACTGCTTCAAAACCCAAGCAGACAAATGCTGCAGAACTGCAAAATAGCATTGACACAAAAAATTTGTAAAGTGGATACATATTGAAAACTCTGTTTAAAAAAAAAATAATCTTAAATTCACCAGTCACTAACTTAATCACCATCTGGGATTCCTGAATGTAAACCTGTTTCAGCTAATAACGAAGGATTCCAAAAGAGTCTGTCTCCACAACTGTCTATTGCCACTACTATGAGTGCAGAACTGGGGTCCCAGTTTTCTTCTACACAGCATATCGTTACTGGAAGAACTCCTTTATGAAACCCCTGCCTTAAAATTGAGAGATCACCCCTTATACACACAAAAGTATCTCCAAGCACAACAAAATAAAGGATCAGTATAGAAAAAATTGTTAAACATTTTCATAAATATGGGTGTAAGATACTCAGGTACAGAAAGGGAAAACACTTCCCTGTTATCAACTGGGAACTCCGCATGTTACGTCAGTAAGATCCCAGATACCTTTTGCAAAAGAGGAATTACATAATGCACCTTTCAGTCACCCTACCTGTAATTCCAAAGAAATATTCTTGTTAAACAGACACACAGAGTGAATGAAGTGATTACTTTTTTTTTTTAAACTAAATTAAATAGCTTCACTGGTAACAGCTGAGAAACATTTTTAAGGAGTTGAACGTAAAGACAGCAGTTTTACAACTTAATCCAAGAGTATCCAGGAGCCTATCCATGTACGAACAACCACCGCAAATGGATGAAGCTTAAAAAAAACCAAACAATCAGTTGAAATGCAAATATTAAAAAGATATATCCAAATATAATCTGATACCCTTCCAAGCTGCTTTTGGCTCCCCACTATTTCAAATGCAGGTACCTTCCACCTGTTTGTTTACTTGTTCTTAGAAAAACAGTATAAAAACAAGCAATATTAAGAAGCAATGTACTGAACGGATTAACCAAGCTCCTGAACACATCACTTTTATTTAGAGAAAGCCTTTATTCTGGCAATAAGATTTAAGAGTTTGAAGTTAAATTATAACCCTTTTGTAGGGAGGAGGGAAGGTAACAAACAAGTTTTAAGGGCATATTCCTCCTTTCTACAAAAACATGTTGTTGTTTGGAATGGGGTGGGAAGAGTTTTACCATCATTACAACAGTCATAGGCTGAGGCAACCATGAAGTTAGTGTTGATGTTATAATGGAAACACCTCTGTTCAGCGTTAATCTGTAGTACCAGTAAGTGATTCATTACAAACGCTGTGACAAATCATGAGCCGTGATGAGTTTTGTATCCTCCCTGGCATTTGCCTCTTCCAAGTGAGCTGGCTCACAGCCGACCCAGGGTCTGGGTGTTGTAGAGGGTTAGAACAAGCAAAGTAGATAAAAAAACCTTTTTTTTTTTTTTTTTAATTAAAAACTGAAACTCTCTAAGTTAAAGAAGACATTTTGTTCACGCACCTTGAAAGAAGAGGGCACATGTTCCCCATTTCTGACAAAAAAAAAGAAAAAAAAAAAAAAGAAAGAAAGAAAGAGCGGAGGCTTTGGGAAGTGGGCTTCACACCCACCGCCCTGGACCTTCCCACAAAGAACAAGCAGCACAGCAACGAGGAGAAAGAGAAAGCAGCGAGAGGCCACGGCTGTGTGGCGGCGGCGGCGGCTTGAAATTTACCTGGAAATCAGCCAATATCATTTCTCGGTCCATGTTGGACGCCATTGCAGCCAGCTGCGTCCCCGGCTCTGCTCTGGCCCGCGCACCTGGAGCTGCTGCCGGCG